GGGTTTTACGAAGGACTTCTTTATGTCGTGTAGTTTAGTAAGGGTTTTACGATGGACTTCTTTATGTCGTGTAGTTTAGTAAGGGTTTTACGAAGGACTTCTTTATGTCGTGTAGTTTAGTAAGGGTTTTACGAAGGACTTCTTTATGTCGTGTAGTTTAGTAAGGGTTTGACGAAGGACGTCGCAAGAGTGGCAGGCCCAAAGTGACCTGGAGACGCACAGTAGAGTTTTGAAAAGAAGCCCTGGAATCATTCGTGGGGAACGCTGACCAAAATGGTCCAAAACAGAAAGAGCTGGAGATTCTTTGCTGCAGCCCTAAACGACTGATGGCGTAACGGGTAGTAAGAGGAGTAAGTGTTTTACGGCACTTGCAACTCTATACTGTCATAATATATCATAAGTCCTGAAGATTAGATGTGTTACAAGAGAGTAACAAGCACAGAAAAGAATAAGGGGAGATAAAGATGATAGATGTTTGATAGGAAAGAAGGAACAAACCACCTCAGAGCACCCGCCAACCACTCACTGATTTCTTTATAAACATAATAATATAGATTTAAAAAATAGATAGCATTTGTATAGTGCAAATTCTCCGCTCAACACCAAGCTCAATGCGCTTTACAATCTACATTATATCACATTATTACTCCAGCAGGCCTGAGCATTCTGACACCAATCTCAACTTTCTGAGAAGCATACAGTGCAAGCTGCCATGCGTGGGCGCTAAAACACTAAATAAATATATTGACACGATCTTTCGCTGTCTATGGCCGGGTACCGAGAAGCACACGTTATGCACGGCATGTCGTCCTCGACGGGTACCCATTCCCACCTGGGTGAAGTGGGGAAAATTCGCATAAAGTGCCTTTCTCAAGGACACAACATCAGGCCTGCGGCTTGAACACCTGAATCCGCAACTTAACAATTACGAGCCCGGTAGCCTATTACGGGGTGTCAAAAGAGGGTCGGGTCTGGTGGGGGTTGTTTGTTAGCCAAATTGAGGGCGCAAAGCGGCTATTGTGGCAAAAGCCGATCGCGCCCGACTTGTCGACCCAAAAACAAACGCGTTTCTTTTCAGGTGACGAGTGGGTCGATCGCCCGCGATCCGACGACCCGATCCCATCCACAATGGGAACCCCGTATAACCCCTAGGCAACGGACTCTTTTGTGTGTCGAATCGTGCTAAAATCAGGCGCTCGTCAAGATAAGGAAATCGAAGAAACCGACGTTCTTCTGTCCGTTGAGCATTTATTGTTTTCGTATTTGGTTTTGTCTTTTTATTAACTGATCAAAAGCACATAAATACGTAAGTTTTCAGATTCTGAAGACAATTCAACCATTAAAGTCTCCATAATAATTTGGCGACCACTTTCTCGCTAATGTTACCTCTGACACCACCTTCGAATGCAGAAATCAAGACTTATAATCAAGATACATGGGTATTTTTCCCCCTCAAAAGCATGACAAATGAATAGGCTTTAAGATTATACCAGTAACTCAATACTCCGTACGCCCAATAACTGACGACCTCCTAATTCCACCGCGTTACGAAACAATAATTACATATTAATGATATTCTATCTATCTATTTATCTATTTATCTTTATTTCTCTCTCCTATCTATCTATCTATCTATCTATCTATCTATCTATCTATCTATCTATCTATCTA